CAAAATTCTCACTGACTAGGTAGATCACAGAAGTCTTAGCGGAAGAGATAGAAATTGAGTGGCAGAGATAGAAATTGAGTTGGTAAAACCACTCCAAATTTAGTTATGCGTATCACATTCTTGATTAGTTATTTTCCTTAAATACAGATCAGACAATGTCACTCCCCTACTCAACAAATCTCAGGGGCTCCCTATTGCCTCTAGGATAACATATAAGATACTCTGCATGGTTTTTAAAGATCTTCACAACCTGGAACTAGTCTTTGATTCTAGTCTCATTTTTCATTACTCCCCTTCTACAGTCTAGACAAACTGGCCTTCTCCCTGTTCTTCAAATATCGTTCCCATTTCCCATCTCTGTGTATTTGCATTGGTCATCCCTCATGCCTAGAACACACTCCCTCCTCTCCTCTGACTCACAGAATTTTTCACTTCCATCAAGATAAGCTCAAGCATCTCCTATATGAGGCCTTTCTCATGATTCTCCCCAATCACTAGTGCTCTCCCTCCCTAACTACTTTGTGTTTAACCATATTATATTTATTTTGTATGTATTCCATCTCCACTAATAAGTGGTAAGCCCCTTGAAAAGGTTTCGTTTCTTTTCTTTGATTTTTTTTTTCCTCATTCTTTTCTTTCTTTCCTTTTATCTTCCTTCCTTCCTTTCTTGTTTTTTGTCTAAGTCCAGTGCCTAGAACAGTTCCTAGTTCTTAATAAATGTTGGTTGATTGTTTAATTGATTGGCTGATGGGGTTATTGGCCATGTGACCTAGTGGAGTCAAACCTATTCTCTGTTTGTCTATTCTGTTGTATGAACACATGCTATGATAAGATCTACTACTGCTACCTGTCTTATGGCAGGATTGGTGGGCTAAGGTGTAGAAAAACAGCTCTTTTCATCAAGGTGTCAATAAATGGCTGCAACTGTCATTTGATTCTATGGCAGGGAAAGCTCTCAAATTCTCAAACCACAAAAAATGAAAAAACAGTATTTGAGGAGCACTTAAATACAGCTAGGATTTCTTTTTCATGGCCTCTCTTGAAACATGGCTTCTCCTTAGCATGTAAAACAGGAGAGCTTTCAAAGGATCATTAAAATAGAACTTTTAGGTGAATTATGGGAAAACAGTAAGAAATTTACAGTTAGAAGATTCAGAGGAAGAATTAGGGGAAGATTTAATGCCCTGCTCCCTTCTTCCCCCCACTTCTCTCTGTATAGCTTTAGATATTTACATATATCGTCTATTTTAATTGCATTCCTGTAGAAAGAAGCATGAGAGAAGTGTTTTATATCACATAATTACAAAGTTAAGAATTTTTTTTAATTAAGTGATCCATGATTTCATTGGTGTGGGTACTCCCCTCCACTGATGCAAATAGCAACCCCTCCTAATTTATTATGGATAACCATGGGCAAAAAAATCATCAGCTGGGGACCAGTGTTCTGGGGAGGAACCTCTCTGTACTTCACAAAGCTGGGCCTCTGTTGACAGATGCACAGTCTATTACCAGCCTGATCCTGGAAGCCTTTCAAGCTTGTTAGGAACTACCAGTGCTTGCAGTCCATTGGCATGGCCTCAAGAATGCAGGGTCACCTCCACACCACAACGAAGCACTGGAGAAGAAGGAAAACTCTAGTGATGCATGAATTTCAGTGAGTGGAAGGATGACTTTTTATCCACTGTCATAATTAGGACTCCCACCCTGTCGGCCCTCCTTGCTTTTTTTTTTCATTTTACTTTCCTGAGAAAATAGAACAGGCATTGATTGCCAATATTTGATTCACATAATGAGAAGCTCATGAGATCTGGGCTCTTTGCTTGCATTATTCCCTGCTGGATTTAGTCACTTTGTCTTTAATTCTTATAACTGCAGCTGTAATGCCTGGAAAAGACTGAATGCAAAGGAGTTTGAAAGAAGATGTATTTTGTGATTTGACAAAGAAGCAGAGACAATTGTCTCTCATTAGTTGTCACTTCTCAATTTTGAAAAACCTATATAGTGTTGTTTTTATCTCCTAACTTTGATAGGTCAGGAAAAGCAAGGCTTCTTTTTCAAATTAAATTAGCATTTAGTTGAGGAAGAGAAAAAAAAAGATTGGAGAATACAGGGTGAAAAGAGATTGAAGGGAAAGAGAAGTTAGTAATTCTACTAATTTCAGCCACTTTACATCTTGGAAAGTCAAGTCCTGTAGGCATTGATTCTTCACATCAAACTCAAAGAGTTTGGCTTCAGAACAGGGCAATCACCCCACAGAACCATAAAAGGGCACTCATAAGAACTTGATTTAGAGCTGGAAGGGACCTAAGAGGTTATCTAACGTAGCCCTCTCAATTTACAGATGAGGAAAATAAGGCTCAGCAAATTCATTTCAGAGCCAAGACTTGGTCTCTAGTCCTCTGACTCCAAGTATTGACCTCTTTCTAAAGCACACTGTTATTTTGTTTTGTTCCTTAGAGAGATGAAAATGGTCACATTTGAATTGAGGACCTCCTGATCTATAGTTAAACACTTCACCACTAAAGTATCTCACTTCCCTCCTCATCCTTTCTTGCCATTAGATGTTTCCTCCTCTCGAGTTATTTGCATTTTTGTGTTCTGCAATTCTTTGGGGGCACAAGTACCAAATTCCTACTCAGAGCTTTTTTTAACAGTCTCTCTTTTGTGAGACCTTGGAATTTTTGCCTGAAGTGGCACTTGGAGATTTTCCCCTAAACCCCAGTGAATGTCTTCATTCCTGTCTCATTCACTCATGCCAACCATATCATCATAAGACTTTCTCTACCACAGATTTTATCTCCCATTCCTCCCTCATCCACTACCTTCACACCTCCCCCCCCAAACCTCTCTTTGGCTCCCTTTTATGTGTTGTCTTTTGCTATTAAAAAGCTTTTTGAGGGCAGGGAGAGTATCTTTCTGCAATTATTCATATTCCTAATGCTTAGTACACAGCCTAGCATATAGTAAGCTCTTAATAAATGCTTATTGACTTAATTTGACTTAAATGGATCGGCTCTCCAATAAGTAACTGAGTTGCTTAAGAAGGCATTCCCTTAAACAGATTAAATTGCTGTGAACTTTTTGAAAGAATGATCTCCTTGCTAATTGGAACAGCATGCCTTCCCCTTCCTCACTTGGTCTTCCCCTTCCACTACCCACAATGTCATATTCTAGAATCTTTCCACACCATACTGACTTTGGATCTCCCTTAGATGAGAACCACACTAGAACTGGTTCAACTGAGTATTTTTTTGGTTTGGTTGTTTTGCTGAGTTGTTTTCTCAAACCAAGCCCCCCTCCCCTCCCAAAAAAAGAGAATCCAATTCTATGCCAGTAACAACCACAGAAGAAATTAAGAATGTTCCTCGGTACAGGTGAGTGTAGCATCTCTTAAACGTCTTTACTGGTGTGTTCTTTTCACAGAATTAGACCATCTTAAAAAATAAACCCCACTCCTTTCCCAACAAATTAAATCAGAATGATATAAATATATGGGCTGAAATCATCTGGGAAAGGAAGACTTTGAGTTTGATCACCTCTGTTTTCAAAATATAAAAACCAATCAGGATCACAGATCTAGAAGGAACCTTGGAAGCAATCTATCCAGCCCCCTCATTTTACAGTGAAGGAAATTAAGACCTAGGTTGGTTAAGGGATTTGATCAAAGACACAAAGGTAGAAAAAGTCAGACATGGGATTTGTGAGAATTCTTTCCACTGAACCATGAGTGATTGGGCTCTATTACTTTTGAAGGGCAGTTTAACTAAACCTATGGATAATCGACTACTTCCACTAGTACTTAATATTATTACCCATAACATAGAATATATTTTTATTTGTCCATTCTGAAAAATCAGTAAAGATCATTATTAAGCCAATGGTAATTAAAATTATGTTATAGGACTAGCCAGTCCAAAAAAAAAATATTCTCAAGAGCGCAGCAGTATTATGGTCCTTAGAGTTGAAGCATGCCAGTGCAGATGTTCCTAATTACCCTAAAAACACAAATACTTACACAAACCAGTTGGTTCCAGCTACAGAATAATTCAATTAAAGGAGTGCTTATAATTTAGCAGTATGAATAATGGTTAGGACCAGCAAGTCTGTGAAACTGTAAAGAACTACAGACACACAGAATCTGAGTCAGACAAACAGCTCTATATGTTTTAGAGTAACAAAGCCTTTAGATTTCCCAACTTCTCCAAGGCTGGCAGAACCCTGTTACCTGAGCTAGGAGATAACCATAGACCACTCAGATGTCTTAAAAAACATTCATTCCACTTCACCTTGAGAGCTACCTACATAACTCCAAATAGTGGCTCTGGAGCAGCTAGAACAAGGCTACTCCCTTGGTTTATATTACATCTTGAGAAATGGATGTCTTAGGTAATGTGATACAGAATTAAATCAACATACACAATGAAACCCATGCTCTGGAGACACACAGGATTCTCTTTGCAAATAATAATCTTGGCAGTGAGCCTCCTTTATGTGCTGAAAGCCCTGCTGCTTGCTCACAGCAAATCTCAGGGCTACAACAGGTAATTGGGTGCTACTAATAACGTTTGCAAATAACATCTCAAGGCAGGAAATGTTTACAGCTTGACTTAGTGGGATGAGACAACCTTATCTGTAAGCTCAAACTCTAACACTGATAGACACTGATTTATTGGGGTTTTCTTAAATATTTATAAACAGTTAATTTACACAAACACTATATGTCACACATACATCCACATGTATATATACATATCCTCAAAAGCTATTAAAATGTAGATTCAAAAATGATAAAGTAAAAATTAAGTTTAATGTACTAAAATGACAGTCAAATTATTGCCAAGGTGCTCATTTCCCAAAAACAAATTAAATGTCCGTTTACCATTTCCTAATTATATTGTTTAAGTTACATTTTTAATAGTTGGTCTCTTCACAATACCCAGGAGATAAAAGGGAAATCTGGTTTACAGAAGAGGGGAAAAAATCAAATAAGCTTACTTTACCTTGTGTCACCTGCTGGACTGCCAGCATTATCCCCGACACCGTATCCGGAATCAAATTTTCCTTCAGGTTGTAGCATGGTGCCCATTCCAGAATTGGCAGCCGCCTTAAACACCACTGTTTAATGTCTGCACAGTGGAAGGAATTTATCTTCCTCCATACCACACTATTCTTTTTTCTCTTCACTCCTGTCATTTTCCAGGTTCCCTTCTCCCAAAAGTTTCTTCTTCAGGAGAGGAAAGTCGTTTCAAGCACAAGTCCCTTCAATGCCAGCCTCCAGTTTTGTCAGTGTTTAACAATGTCAAAGCTAAAGGAAAAAAAAAAAAGAAAAAACAAGAAGGAAAGAGAGAGAGAGAGATTAAGAGAAACACTTAAATATCTGGAGCTGAGTTCTGGTTGGCTTTGGGGTAGCTAATTAATTCAACTCCAAATATGCATTTAAGCCCTGCATCCTCATCTGAAGGAAATGCAGAAATGGTCCCTTGTTAGTGTAACATGTTTCTGTTCTTTTAAAAGTAGTAGGTCTAGCCTTAAGTTAGTCTATGGCTCTCTATCCAGTAATTTCTCCCTTATATTCACCGTAGTGCCTTATGCTTTTGGCTCCAATCCCAATGGTTAATGAGGTAGTGCGGGGCGTGTGTTGGAAGTGGGCTGGGCTATGCTAATACAACCAGGAAGCTCTCAGCTAGTCCAATCTCTCCCTCCAAGCTATGCATAAGCATAAAGCTGCTAGGGGCTCTACAATGCAAAATTAACTCACAGAACCAAGCCTCCCTTTCAGAACGATAAGATACTTTGTTTGCAGTCTATTAAGCACTGGCAATTTTTCTCTTGTTAAAGCAAGCTACGGAAATCATTTTATTCCCTGTGAAATGAGGTTTTCATTCATAGAGAAATGTTCAGGTAGCCGGCTGCCCAGTTTAGGGAAAGGAATTTCCAGTTCTCATAAATAAACTGAAACTTCATCCCCTAACAAAACAGGCATGACAATGGATGGAATATTTGTGTCTATGATTCCCCCCCCTTTCCTCCTCACCTCGCAATTGCTCCATGGGTTTTCTCCGATAGTTTCTCTTCATCCTTTACTTCTCACACACACTCTATTGTGACTGGTGTTTATTGAGGAATGACAGTATGGTACAAATCATTGTGTAAAGGGTCCCCGAAAGGTTTTTGGTGCCTATACCATTTTTATAGTTTCATTAAACACATATTCCCTTTGTTTTTAGAGGTCGTCATTTTTTTTTTAAAGAAAGAAAGCTGGCATTTATGAGCTGTGCAATTGGAATTATACCAAAGAAACAGTTTATTAAATAAAACTCTGACAGCCAAGAAAGAGAATACTATGTATATAGTTCACTGAGGCCCCTTTTTAATGCCCTTTCGTCCAGAGAATACAAAGCTGATTTCTGGAAGCCTTTAGAATAACAAAACTTTTGGATCCCTTGGACACTTCTCTGGTCCCCCTCTGTACCTTTTATCCGTTTGTTTTTAAATTAAGGTGAATAGCTACTTTCTCAGCTTTCCAAGGATGACCTCATTGGTTTCCTATATAGTGTTCTGATATATACCTGCTTCTGCATTACAACCTATAAGTACCTTACATATATACAATTGATATTTTTGTCCATAGGTCAGAATTTGCTTACTTCCCTTCTGTAGTTATTGGGACAAATTTCCAAACTGTCCAAACTATTAGATTCCTATAATTATCACCTTTAGAGACTCTGGCTTACAGTGTTTCCAGATGCTTTTTCTTATGCTCTCATGTCTAAGTGAAACCACCTGATATTTGCTACCATCGTCACTGTGTCAACAACAAAGCTGCATCAACCTCAGGAGTTCAAAAGAGATATTACATCATTTTAACTGTCTTATGCTTTTTGCTTCTTTCCTACACAAATAATCATTATTAATTCTATTTTGTAATCATCTGAAGTCTTTATTCTATAGCCCCCCCCCCAAACCCTCCCCCCAAAAAAGCCTCAAAACATATCTAGGTCATAAATTTGCAATCCACTCTGAAGATGAGTGATCACTTGACATGGATGTGGCAGAAGGGTTTTCTGCACTGGATGGAAGACTAGACCAGATGACCATCAACGCTGGCATTCTATGGTGCTTTCCATAAGTCTACGATTTCAAGATAGATGTTGGAAGTTAAGGTGAAATCTATCAACAGAAAGCTTTATCTGTTTGCTCAATTTAAGTCATTTTAGATAACGCATTTTGATTACAGATAATAGAATGTAAACTCTGTAAATGCAGGAACTATTTTGGTTTTTGTCTCTGTAACCCCAGAGCCTGGCACAGAGAATTAGTAAATGATTGTTGAATGAATGAATTAACAAATAGTGTTACATATGAGAATTCAACGAACATTTACAAATATACCATATTTAAGAATTAAAGATGGATTTTCACAACTGCAAAACAGAAACTGTTTCACGATGTTCTAGAACCAAAGAGAGGAAGAGAAACAGTTCAAATGTAAACTAATTCTGTGTCCTTTGATCCTTCTGGGACTTCTTTGGCAATATGGATACTTTCTCAAAATAATTATTGTTAAATGTATAAGATTATAAATGAAACCAATGATACTGAAATGCAATTATGAAAATATTTTTAAAACAAGTTTATAGACCCCAAGTTAAGAAATCATGATCTAAATGAATATATTTCAAGGATCCACATAATAAATTCACTTATTTTCTTATTTTTTTTTCATCTCTATGTTTTGACTGTTCCTATACTTACATGTTCTGTTTAGGATCCCAAAGTGCTAAAACTTCACAGTACAAGCTTGATTCATGGAAGATACACTTCAGATCATAAATAGGAATGCCAAAAACTTTATGAAGAAGTCTATTCACCCACATGAGATTCCCAGGGCAATTGGACAGACTCATAAAGTTCAAGAAAATTAGATAAACTTTTACATAACTTTCAGTAGCTGACGTCAATTCTGTCTCCAGTTCCATATGTCTTTCACTCTCTTCCATATGCCAAATGGAGGGAAGCTCTGATTTGTTTTCCAGACAACACATATTTTTTAGAAAACTGGATTCCCTTATCATTCCCATACCCCCCAACCCCGCCTCACAACTACCCCAGTTTCCAATTTCCATTATTCTGTCAAAGACACCACTCTACTCTTGGCTCTACGGACTCACAATGTTAACATCACCATTGTCTTTCTCCCTCATCCAATTCATCACCAAGTCTCGCTGTTTCCTCTTCCATCATGCTTCTATAATTCATCCTTTCCTTTTCATCCCCATGGATCCTTTCTTGTTACAGACCCAGATCACCTGGACCACTGAAAAGGTCTCCTAGACAGCTTCTCTGTCTATAGCCTTTCTCCCTTCCAAGTCATAATCACTTTCTAAAAACATAATTTTAGAATTGGAAGGAAACTGGGAGCCATTTACTCCAACCTCCTTCATTTTACAGATGAAGAAACTGAAGTTGTCACTTTCCTAGGGTTATACAGGTAGTAACCTAGTTGGGATCTGAACTCAGGTCCACTTTATAGTCAGCGCCTATCCCACTGTGCCATGCTTTCTCTCCCAAATGTTGACTCTAAAACTCCCAATAATCAATGGCTTTGAACTCTAAACTCCCAGGTAAGTACTTCAAGACCCACTAACAGGCTCATAGAATGACCTCCAAAGACAAGGTACCAAATCTTGGGGCTCCTACAGCCTTCAAAATGAAGGGAACCCTGAGTGCCTCACCATCCCCCTTCAAGCTCTCTGCTTCACTCCATGGAACCTATATACCACCCACACATACTACTTAGTCTCTTCAACCTATTTTGTTTTTTGGTGCGGCTTTTTTTTTGGGAGGGTGGCGAATTCTGACCATAAAATTTTATCTACATATTGGTAATTTATCTATAACTGATAGCCTTAGAGAGCTGCTGTCTTTCTGACTCCAAGTTCAACCTTTATCCACAACACCATTCTCAATCTATATACTTGTCAATCACTCTACTCTTCTTTAAAAGCCTGGCCAATAATTTAAGAAGCATTTATTAATCACTTACTTTATGCCAGGTGTTGTGCTAGGATAAAGATTCTCTTTCTTCATGAAGCCTCCTGAACTTAATTGTAACCACATCTACTTATTCCATAAAATCAATGTCCTGTCAACATGTACCTTATTTTTTATATATGTACATAAAAAGTTCTCTGCAACCACATGCATAAATTTTCTTAGTTTGTGTTCCTCTGCCTGCTTTGTATGTAGTTAGCCAGTATCCTTCATGACTCTGCAAGATATCTAAGGATCTAAGGGCATGAGCCTGGTCTTCTGTTTCTTTTGTCTCTCTTCAGGAAACCTAGTATGGTGCCCCAGCATTTAGAAGACGTTCAATAAATGGCAGGTGGCTAATAATAATGGTGGGTGGCTAATAATGATCTTCCTGAATTATACTCAGTGTTGGCAATTTCATTAGACACTTCTTACAGACTTTTATTTTTCCTTTTATTCTTTACATCCTGGAGGAAAATGGAAGGATGCCAGTCCTCCCTCCGTCACCTTGAAGTGAACCTAAGAACCATTTCTAATAGTGGTCTTTCAGTGATAGACTTTTCTCCACACTATAAATAAGAACTTTTCTGGGTGTTCCCACAAGTTGTCAGTCCTATTAAGTTAGCTCACTCTCTTGGGTACTTCTATATAACTGATCCAGTGGAAAGTCCAGTTGGGAAGTTTGTCAACCAGGCCTTGACATGACTCCTTCCAAATTATTCTGTTAGCTTCCAACCAGAGGTAAATCTTAGTTTTCTAATAGTTCGGTGTCCTCTTATCCAGTTTAGTATTGTATTATGGTCTGATAGTAGATTCTCTCACTTTACTTGTATCTTAAATGTAATTTTCCATTAGATGCTGATGGATTTACATTAGACATGGATTATGAGTCTGTCCTTTACCACAAAAACATGTTTCACATTTATAGCTTAAACATACACGTGTGCATTCACACATACATGCACATAACTACAAGTATTATAGTAGGTGAACTCTCTTATTGTATAGATATAGATATACTGAAAGATACTTAATAGAATGAAGCATATATAAAAGACTGAACTCTTAAGACAGATAATCAACTGGCATGTTGGGGGCTAAATATCAAAAGGACTGGGAGGCAAGAAAACTAGACTCTAACCCTCAATCTACTACTAGACTACTTTTCCATTTATTAGTAAAATAGCATCATGAACCTTATGGATCCTTGATATTCAGGGTTTTAAGTCAGTTTCCATTTGTTTGTTTCAAACTGACCAGTAACAATGTAAT